TTTTGAACACTTTCCCTTCAACCGCTTCCTACCATCACCTTAGGTTTTTTCCGCTTCCTTTTTTAACCGTCCAAAGGGCGTCATCCTCATTTCCCCCACACCACCACGACAGGAACATTCCAACCAATAGCAAATTTTTTACAAACAAAGATAATCACCACCCCCATCCCTTAAGACCTCTCTGCGAGACGAGAGTCGATACGAACAGGAGAGTTCGAGCTTGACCGCCGACAGTACAACATAGAGAACTTGTAAAGCCATAGTACGACGTTGTAGTGGAGTTTTTAAATATAACCATTTTAAAGGCTATCAGCTGTGTCCATTATTTTTACTGGGAATCAATTCCCAAACCTTCATCAGCTACGCAATATTAAATTGGCGCGTAGCACCGAGGCAACGGGAGTCTGCTCTTGCACCTCAGAACATATGGTCCTTCGAGCCGGATACAGCACCTACTCAGCGTCGGGAAAATACAAGTTTAGTGCGTGTCAGCGGTCCAGTGAGTCAACTTGGATCAAAATCGGTGGTTGCTACATTCGACGTATTATAGGACTATAATACAAATTCTTCGAGTGACTATGAGAAAGGACTTTCTCACTGCAACTTAGTCATCTCCAATTCATACCAGCAACCATACATACGCAATTGGTGACAATTCGAAGCAGACAACAGTCTCAACATCCTCAACCAATCTACGCATCTCATCTCACGCAGCGAGAAGAGATCATCAACCAAGGGTCAACCTCAAGACAGCATCACTTCAGCGCATTCATCGTGGGGCCAACAGGTATTGGAGGTCTACACAGGGTGAGTTCATTTTCTGAATCGTTGATCTGTCCTTGAAATCCTTTTCCTTTGCGAGTTATCAGTCTCTAAAATGGCAGATTTAGCGAGACTAAAGAAAAAACGCGGTAATTTAAAACGTCACCTTACACTTTTTGGTGCGTTTCTTGAGAACGCAACTACAGCCGATTGTTACGATGAAGTTAGTTTTCGATTAAATCAAATAACTGGACATTTAGCCGAATTTGAAGACATTCAAATAGAAATTGAGTTGGTGGAAACATCTCCCGAAAACGATAAATATCGAGACGAATTCGAAGACAATTATTACAATCTCTTGCGAAAAGCACGTCATTTCCTTAGAGTTCATTCTCCTATCTCAGATAGAGAAGAGCGAGATATTACTGTAATTAACGGGACAGCAACAGCAGTTGATCGATCTAATGTACGCCTTCCAAAGATTGATTTGCCAACTTTCAATGGAGCATATGATCAATGGATGTGTTTTTTTGATACTTTCAAATCCATGGTACATAATAAAAGTCATATTTCAAAAATCGAGAAACTTCATTACTTGCGTTCGTGTTTGAAAGACGAGGCGGCGACTGTGACTCAATCGCTCGAAACTACAGAAGATAATTATGATATCGCTTGGGATCTTTTGATTGAAAGGTATGATAACAAACGAGTCATCGTACAAAGTCATTTAAAGGCATTATTTGATCAGCCTATTCTTACGCGCGAGAGTGCAACCAACGTTCGACAAATTCTTGATAATATAAACAAGCACACGCGCGCGCTTAAAGCTTTAGGACAACCAGTAGATTCGTGGGATGCCATCCTAATCTTTGCAATGACTTCAAAATTAGATAAGATTACGCACCAAGAATGGGAAAAAACAATACAGTCGCGAGAGTTACCTACACTCAAAGAATTCATCTCATTCCTTACAAATCGATGCCAAATTCTAGAAGCTACGAATGCACAATCTAATTCACAACCACACAACACTGCTAAGGGGCCCGCAAGTAATGCAAGGAAGGTTTTACATGTGGTGCAAAGGCCTGATTATTGTAATTACTGCTCTGGTGATCACAAAACTTTTAGATGCGAGAAATTTTTGAAAATCACTCCTTCCGAAAGACTCGATGCAGTAAAGAAAATCAAAGCATGTTTCAATTGTCTACGGAAAGGCCATTCAAATGAAAATTGTACGTGCGGACCGTGCAAAAAATGTAATAAGAAACACCACACATTATTACATTTAGACCAGCCACGGACGAGCAACGCGCAATCCACTGTCGCGTGCGGTAATTTACAAATTAACCCAGTCGAATCTTCTGACAATTCATCGATCGAAGTCGCGTCAACCAGCACAGATTCTACGCCACAGACGATTTCGGATGCAGTCGCATGCTGCAATTTGCAGGCCGACGGTTCGGCGCAAGTAGTACTCGCGACCGCAAAGGTAGTTTTCTTTGACGCGCATAATAACAGGCATGTAGCCCGCGTAGTCCTAGATGGAGGAGCGCAAGCTCACTTCATATCAGAGAAACTCGCAAACTTGCTTAAACTAAAACGAATTAAAACCAATATTCCAGTCGTAGCCATCAACCAGATGGAAACAACAATTCGCCATAAAGTTATGGCAAAGATCGCTTCAACGCAAGGAGAATACAATACGCGTCTTTCTTTCTTGGTCGTGCCTAGTGTTTCGACACCTTTACCCGCACAACAAATTAATTCAAAGGGCTTAAATATTCCGAGAAATTTACCGCTCGCAGATCCAACGTTTTACAAGTCCTCTGAGATCGATGCGTTATTAGGCGCAGAATTATTCTACCAGATACTTTGCGCAAAACAAATCGAAATTCAAAATCAAAACGCCGTATTGCAAAAAACTAGATTTGGGTGGGTAGTCGCAGGTAAAATAACGGAGGATGAATCAAGTGTTCGAACCATTTCTTGCAATTTATCTATCAAGTCGATACACCATGACATTTCCAGATTTTGGGAATTAGAAGAAATTCCAGAAACCAAATTCATGTCCTCCTCAGAAGCTGAAGTCGAGCAACATTTTCTAGACAACGTATACCGTAACGAAACAGGCAGATACGTAGTAAGATTACCCTTTAATGATAAAAGGGACAAGCTCGGGATCACATACAACATTGCGCGCCGACAATTCTTCGCGTTAGAACGTCGATTCGCTAAACATCCAGAAATAAAGCTTCCGTACGTCAACTCGATGAAAGAGTATATAGATTTAAGACACATGTCGAAAGTTCGAAATCCTGATACGCGAGACAATTACATGCCACATCATGCAGTAGTCAAGTTAGATAGTACGACTACTCAATATAGACCTGTTTTCAACGCATCCGTTACTCCAGAAGATGAGGAGGACGAATACGGTCAAATCGGTGACCAGAATAAATCGGAAAGGGTCACATTCAATCAAACTTTAATGACGGGACCGACAATACAAAATGACATTTTTGAAATTTTAATTCGTTTCCGTATTCATCAATTCGCGTTAATAGCCGACATAGAAAAAATGTATCGGCAAGTGCTAGTTCACGAAGACGATAGAAAATACCAACAAATTTTTTGGCGAGAAGATCCGAACGAACCTTTAGAAGTGTATCAACTCAACACGTTAACTTTTGGCACGAGCTGTGCACCGTTTTTAGCTATTCGCACGTTACATAAACTTGCAGATGACGAGAAACACAATTATCCTACGGCAGCCGACGTAGTGAAACGCGATTTTTACGTAGATGACCTATTAACAGGTAGTGATACTTTAGAAAACGCCGGAAGGTTACGTGATGAATTAAATTCTTTGTTAAAATCAGGCGGTTTCAATTTGCGAAAATGGGCTTCAAATGATAACCGACTGATTGAACCGTTGTCTAACGACTTAGCAAACGTCCATTTATTCTCAGATCCAGAAAAGGCAGTCAAAACATTAGGGATTAAATGGAATTCGCAATTAGACGAATTATCTTATTCGTTAAAGGCCGAACTCAGTGCTCAGGAGAAAACTACAAAACGAACAATTCTGTCAAACATCGCGCAGTTATTCGATCCGATAGGGTTGTTAGGCCCAATAATAGTCAAAGCTAAACTTATTATGCAAGCTTTGTGGAAAGCAAAAGTGGACTGGGACGAAACCCTCCCACTCAATATTCATACCGCGTGGTTAGATTACAAAAAACAGTTACCACTTTTATCGAATATTTCTTTCGAAAGATGTATTGTAATCCCAGAGTCAGTGAATAGACAGTTACACGGTTTCTGCGACGCCAGCGAGGTCGCGTACGGCGCCTGCATCTACATCCGATCTACAGATAAACATGGCAAATGCCTCACACGACTAATCTGTTCAAAGTCTAAAGTAGCTCCGTTGAATTCGAAAATTACAATTCCAAGACTTGAACTTTGTGCAGCTGTACTTTTAGCTAAGCTATATAAAACCGTGTCGAGAGTTCTACCTATTAATTTCGATAATGTTTACTTCTGGTCTGATTCAACTATCACCCTCAATTGGATAAACACTCAGCCACATATTTTAAAAACGTTCGTAGCAAATAGAGTCTCGCAAATAAGAACTATCACCAACGAATCTCAATGGCATCATGTACCAACACGGGATAACCCTGCAGACGCAGTATCCAGAGGACAATCAGTATCAGAATTCATTGATAATTTTACGTGGAGAAACGGCCCTGACTGGTTGAACCATCCCCAGGACAAGTGGCCGATTGCACCGATTCAAAAATTGCCACTGCTTGAAGTGCGCAAAATCACAGTTTTAAAAACAACGCTAACAGACAATTCGCTGTTATCGAGATTCTCGTCAATTACTAGACTAATACGGGTTATAGCACACTGTTTACGTTTCGCAATTAATTGTAGCGAAAAACCCAAAAGATTAGGGCACCTCAGTGCAAATGAAATTCAAGAGGCAAAAATTCGAATCATCAAATTGATCCAGAATCAAGCGTTCGCGAAAGAAATTCACGATTTAACAAAAATTCAGAAGGTCGACAACAAGAGCCCGCTGAAAACATTAAACCCATTTCTCGATCATAACGGCATCCTACGAGTTGGAGGCAGAATCGTTAATTCTCACCTAGCATATGATAGCAAGCATCCAATACTGTTGCCAAAAAAGAGTCACGTCACGGATCTGATTATCAAGCACGAACACGAGATCTCGTTACATGCAGGAATTCAGAACACGCTGTACCAAGTTCGTACACAGTATTGGCCGATAAATGGAAAAAACACAACCAAACGTATAATCCATTCATGTATCAAATGTTTTCGATTCAGGAACCCAACTCCGCAACATATTATGGGTAACTTGCCTAAAAATCGTCTCATTCAATCCAGACCATTCATAAACACAGGGATCGATTATTGTGGTCCATTTATGATTAAAGAGAAAAAGTTTCGCAACCGCAATAAAATCAAGGCCTACGTAGCAGTTTATGTTTGCTTTGCAACCAAAGCTGTTCATTTGGAAGCTGTCAGTGATTTAACAACTGACACATTTCTAGGTAGTTTGCGACGTTTTTTCGCTAGACGAGGCAAGAGTAAAAACATTTATACTGATAACGGCACCAATTTTGTCGGTGCCAATAATGAATTAAAACGATTATATGAGTTCATCCGATCTGAGGAATTCAACAACTCAATTTCAAATAAGCTGGCTAATGAGTCAATCACATGGCATTTTATTCCACCTAGATCTCCACACTTTGGTGGATTGTGGGAATCAGTAGTGAAGTCATTCAAAAATCATTTCCTCCGCAAGGCAGGAGATACTTTATTAACATTTGAGGAATTTAGTACGCATGTATGTGAAATCGAGGCTATTCTTAACTCGCGTCCGTTAACACCCGTTTCCACCGATCCAAATGACCTAATAGCCCTCACTCCTGCACATTTCTTGATCAACGATTCATTAATGAGCATACCAGACGTAGATTTCTCCGATACTCCGGCAAACAGGCTGTCCATCTGGGAGCAGATGCAGAAATCAAGACAGCATTTCTGGCAGAGATGGCACAAGGAATATCTCAATGAACTGATCCGCAGAAGCAAATGGTCATCGCCGAAATCCGACCCAATCACCGTAGGAGCCATGGTGCTCTTACAAGAAGAAAATGTTCCTCCATTGCAATGGCCTCTCGGACGCATTGTTGAAATTCATCCTGGCGACGACGGAGTTGTACGCGTTGTTAGCGTAAAAACAGCAAATGGAGTTTTCAAACGAACTGTTAAGAAGATCGCAGTGTTACCAATCGAGCAAACTGATGGTTCAACCCTCGATATATGTAATT